ATGCTCACTTGTCCAAGACTATAAAACAGACTCAAAGTGGCATTCTTAACCCTTTCAAAACCTGTGCACCAGTAAAGGTTGATTTGCTGATTTTCAGATCAAATTTGATCTCCTGTTTGCCAGCCTTGCATGCTACAAATTTGTCATTCTATATAAACATCATTACCAAATCAAATGTATCACTTTAAATGCAGCAGAGGTGTGAAACTAATGGAAGCCACCAAAAGGAGCGGAACCTGAGGTTCAGACAATGGAGGCTTTGCTGAGGTTTTTTCTCTTTAAAGAGCCCGTGCCTTAAGTCAGCTTAGGTCAGTATCATGTGTCAGGCCGTCCGGGCTCAAAAGAGCACAGACACCTGCCGCGGAAACTCAGTAAGCTCCCATCCACGCTGATGGACAAGGGCAGTCTATGCAGAGACACTGAGTATCACTTGGGTGGCAAATCCTATATTCCCAAAGTCAACTGCCCCCAAATTCAGAACACTTTATAAGAAGCTAACTGAATTAGCTTTAAGTCAACTCAACGCTAAAATATACATAATAGCTAAGAGATTTCGACTATTTCATTTGAATTTCTGCCACCTGCCAATAAACTGCCAAATGAATATTTATAAATAATAAAATTATTACAACTGGTGCCAATTTACAGTACTTTAGATTCATCTCTAAAACACATTTATGCTATTGAATCTGCTGACGTAAAACAACAAAAATAAATGACTAAGTATATAAATAGTCTGACTTACACTTCAGAGCCATAATGAAGGCCAAAAAAACCCAAAAGAGAAAGACAGTGAATGTAGCACAATCCAATGTATGACGTACAACAGGTGACTGTTAACAAAGCCATCTTCGGAGTTAAAAAAAAATTGTTTTTATAGCCAAACGTCAGAATGATGGAACAGCACTTAATACATTTATGGGAAATGGTGACGTAAACACAACTGTCGTAGGTCGAACATATCATAAACAGAGCCTTCAGCACATGGCTTCAGCTTGTTATTAAACTTATAACAATAGACATTGCTATGTTGCCCTTTGCTCTGAAAACTTTCTTCAGCTACAATCACTCAGCAGATGATGCCATGACTCAAAGCTCCTTTTAATAAGAATAAAATGTACAAGTTAAACGTGTGTTCTCGCATTTACACATCCAGGTCTCCTCACTCACTGCTTTTACAGTTAATCACATGGACCATGTCAGCACTTTAGTCATAAAAACAGCTGTTCATGGGGTGGATTTTTTTTATTAAATAAATCTGTGCTTGTAGACAGTTGTGTTGCGGATGTAACGACTTAAAGCTAAAACTGGAAAGACACACCTGGGTAATGGGAAAGATTGCATCAGGCAAATTCTTCACAGGTGACAACATTATGATTAAATCTAAATCTCCTTTATCTCATGAAATAGTAAATACCAAAACTAAAACCACAAACTATGCAACGCATCAGACAAAGAGAGACGGTGGAAGAGAAGCGGTGAAAAAAAAAAAGAAAAAGAAGAAACTTCCAATGCAAACACAAACATGTAATTAGATCCCAGAGAAGTCATGTGTCGATTGAACTACTCTGCTGTGAAGTTTCTTCCTTCTGTCGATGACTCACAGCTGAGACCTTATCTGGGTGTAAAATCAGCTGTTTGGGGTAGGATATAAAGTTTCTTCTGCCACTATATCTGCTACATTCCTTAATGTTATTCTACCCTCTGCTTACTCCCCCCATTGCCACCCCTCACCTTTACAACTTGAAGACATGTACTGATAGATGAGCACTGGGACCTCTGCAGCACAGGCAGGTGCTCCGCTAAATTGGTGCCCTGCAGCCACACAAAAAAATCTCAAAGAAAAAGGAATTTCAGATTAAACATAAAGCCTACACAATACAAATAAGTCCCTCAGGGCAATAAACACTGAACTCCACTCTAATGACTCATGTAAGAGGAACACCTCTACATGGGTGGAGGAGAGGGGAGAGTAGGATTGGTAGGTCTGCCCACCACAAGCTTTTCATTACAACAGACACTTGGTAATAAAGGACAGGGCTTGGTGATTGGCAAGACGCCATGATGTCAGCAAGCATATTGCCCCCACATGGATGGTGTTAGAGTGGCGGGAGTGCCAATCAGCCTGCCACACACAACTTTGGTGCAGAGGAAAGTGGGCGGTAGGGAGAGGCCATTAATCACAAATTCACGAGCCCCTGAGGGATGCATAAGGTAACCAAAATTAATTTTACTATTTTTTTCCACCCTGGCTGGACGACAGCATTCCAGCACTGGGAGGGGAACACACACAACTCCAGTTAACAGCAGAACTGCTTAAAGATATGCTCTTCCTTACAGGTATGCTACAAAGTCACCTAAACTGAGGGCAGAATAAAACATAAAAAACTACAGTGAGTTGTTCTCTCTTTTTTTTTTTTTTTACAATGCTTGTATGTGGACATTTAATAACTGTGGACAAAGTAAATATTAACTTAGATTAGCCACAACATTCCAGGTCTGTCTTTATTAAAAGATAACAACTTAAGATAAAGCAAATTAGAAAATTGAAATATAATAATAAATAGTAACTGATTGCCATCAACAACACCATACAGTTACACAGCAACAATAATTACCTACTAATCTAGTAATACTACTAACACTATATATCTACTTATCTACTGACATCAACTGTTCAGGTTTCCCATTTTCATTGACAGTGTGCTGCTACTCATGTTTGTATTTTATTGTATTTTACCTATTTGGGTGTTTTTACTGCTGTTTTGGTGCTGTACTGTTGATGAAGCCTAAATTTCCCAAAGGGAACTCCAAAGGGAATAATAAAGTTATTTCTTTCTTTCTTATCTATCTATCTATCTATCTATCTATCTATCTAAATAATAATATTATTAATATAATATATAATCTTTATAATTATAATATATTTTATAATAATGATTATTTATAAAAATATAACAAATAAATATCAATTTATTTTATATAATAATTGTATATTATTAATTTTATACGTTTGTTTTATATTATTAATTACAAAATTAATTACAAAAATTGCTATTTACTTTTTGGCCACCCCCATTACAGTCAGATTCTGGTCAAAACATTTATTATTAAATAATGGAACATAATGAGTCTCAACGCCAATTATCTAGGCAAAGATAATACTTTCAGCATAATAATGAAATGTGAAATTAACCCTCTATCAAACCCCGAGAAGGGTGAGGGTGAGTTTTGTTCCAAAACTGACTATGCCCAGACATTTTAGTATCGTTTGTGTACATGCAACCAATATGCTCCAAATCTGAAAAACAAAGACTGCCTCTGGAAAATGAATGTCTGACATCTTTATATCAAAATGCAAAAATGCAATGGCCATGTGCTGGTGCAGTGCTGTCACTCACCTAAGTGGTCATGGGAAAATATTGGTTTTGAGCATAAAACAGCATACTGCATTTCATACTGCATAAAATTTGGTAGCAAGTGGACACAATAACTATAAACCAGACTTAACTACAGAGAAATAACTACTGCAGAAACATGTCTTTTTACACTTACATTACATGTATATGTTCATGAGTCGAGGTGAACTCTTCGACGGACATTTATAGTTGAAGTACAACACAAATGTATTTTAACAACATGATTATGTAATTTTTTAATATAATTTATGTAATTGTGCAATGCTTTAAAACAGGACAAACAGGATAAATAGATTGTATATCTTCACTTGCTTCTATTCTTAAACTGCCTGTGAAAAGCCCTCCAGGTCTAGCTCAGGCTAACCAAGATAGCATCATCCCCTAACAGACAGCATTTCAGACATAAAAAGATAAACCACCCTCATTCAGAGTATACCACTGCTCTTTGCCACATTTTGAAAGAGTCATGCAAAATTCCTTTTACAATACTAAAAACTAAAAAGAGTTTTGTTGTTGTTAATTCGTTAACTACAACTAAATTTCCCCAAAAGCTAAAATTGCAGGGAGCTGCATTCAATTGTTGTTAAGGGTATGGTTTTTAAATAAATTAAATAAATGCAATTTTATCTCTCTGCTACTCTGAAAGACTCCACAGAGCAATATCCCACTCACAAAAACAGAACCATTAAGTAAACAAACAATATGTTGATGTATGTATGACGGATAAACAGTGACCTTAAATGCATTTGACAGAGAAAACAACATGTATGATAGCGTATAAGACAAGCAGACACAGGTCAAACCTCGATGTAAGACATAAACACAGTCAGGGACTTATGTATTCACTCTCTGACCAGAATAAGACATTCCCAACAATTAAAATTCATGACACAATTTTCGGTGTTTTTCCAATGTTGAGTAGGCTAGCCGATAGTTTTACAAGAAGTAAATAAAGTATGAGTAAACTACAAATATGTTCTGTAGACTATGTAAGGCTTCACTGTCAGCACCAACAATGGGCGGTTGAGTATACACCACTAAAACAGACAAAGTCCTCGTTATTTGTTGTTGATTAAACGTATTAATCTGTACTTTGTTAAAAGCATTTAATTAGTATCTACATAATGCAGAAACTCAATTGTTAGACTGTGTTATGGGGTGTTGTGACTATTAATCTATTTTTAGATGCAATGTGTTTTCAAGAACCTTGTTCACGGCTACAATTACTTTTGGTTGTCTATGGGCTGTGTATTGACAGGAATGTATCACGATACAGAAGCAATGATACGATGTATTATGATATCCTGAGATACTGTAGGCCGGATGAGATACTGAGGTTATTTATAAACAATTTAATT